TCTACATGACCATATACCCAATGCTACTATATGCAAAAGATCAGGAGTAGCAGACGTTATTGAAAGGATAACAATACTAAAGTGGAACTGGGCAGGTCATGTAGCAAGATTAATTGATGACAGTTGGACAAAAAGAATTTTTTAATGAAGACCCCGAATACAAGCTAACAGAAATAGAGGTCGACCCCCCACCGAGATGGACAGATGACATAAAAAGAGTGACTACAAATTGGATTCAGATGGCGCAAAATCGGACTAAGTGGAAAAGCACGCGAGAGGCCTATGTTCAGCAGTGGACATTAGAAGCTAGTTGATGATGATGATGGTGATGATGATCTCTAGCATACCATAAATATAAAGTCTTATAACTCGCTAGCCATTCAATAGATAAAAATTATGATAAAAAGGAGATATTTTTGTTTTGAATGCATATATGTTTAACCTTGAGCATGCTACATATGCTTCCATTTCAATAAAAGAAGTGTTTATTTGGAGTTCTGTTGATTTTATAAAGATTGTGTTAGTACTTTTAACATGAGTAAACTAAAATATTCAATTCATACAGAGTTAGAGGCCCTCGTATTTGACATAGGTGGTGACTCGGATACAGATACTAATATTATAGAAAATGAAGTAGATTCAGACTAGTTTGAAGACAAAAATGTTCTTGAGAAAATTTTAGAATCGGATGGTTCAGCTGAAGATATAACCGTTACAAAAGATGTTGAGTTTTGGGAATTATGGGAGGATAATTGATTGAGATTTAAAAGTTTTCCACATATCTACTTATGTTAGATGTGTCCAGGATGTTCGGCTTTACACCCCAGCAATTGTTTTCAAAAATACTATACATTGCAAGACAATGACTGAAAAACAGATTGATACTTTTTATAAAGAATATATACACTAGTCTGTAATAAAGTTCAACTTAAATTTAACTTAAGTTAACAAAAAATTATAATATAAAACATGAATTTTATTTTAACCAAATGAGAGTTTAATTAACACATCATTCAATTTTAAAATCAACTGTATCTTGTTTAACATGTTTTATTCAATTCTACCCAATATAATCTCGACGACATCAGTGCACTTTCATGTGCCAAACAGTGACACTTAGTTCACTTATCATGTAATCATCGAGCAAAAAGACAAAAGAGGGAATGTAAAGGTAGTGAGGGCAAAAATATTGTTAGACAGAAAGTGCCATCTTGAGAGGCCACATTAAACAAGAAAAGAGAGTCTCTTTCCTTGTTTAAGAAGTCAAATTTAGTTGAGTTATGTTATTGTTTGTCCCAACTTTCACATGAAAAATTATTTGTATTTTTTATTGATTGATTGATTTATTGATTTGTTTTTTAACAATTTACACATTTACATGTTCTAGTGTTAAAAAAGTATTTTAAGTGTATTATGTATTAATATTATGTAATATTAATATTATGTAATATAAAATAAATAAACAGATAAATTAGAACCCCTACACCACTGTATGATTATTGTGAAGTGTCATGAAATTTAAATTTGGCGCATTCGCATTTCCGGATATGTCTGCCATCAGAGGTCACTTTTTGGTCTCCTTTTCATAACAATTAGATTCCCTCTTTTGTCTTTTAGCCCGATGCATGTAATACATGCCAAAGACTTGTTTATCACGTCACTTGTCATCACGTTCGACTACAAAGGGTTAAAAATGGCACTGCTCAAAAAATATTGAAAATAAAACCAACAAAAGAACATATCTGTAAACAGATAGAAAAATGTGGTGAGTTTACCAATAATATAAAAAATATATTGAAGAAAATAGTAAACTGAGACACAATATTCCTCTACACCTATCTATTACATCTACAAATTATTACATTTCTCAAATTATAAAATTTTATCAATGTTTTACCTTCATGTACTAACTGATGAGCCCTACATATTAATGTTAAAGCATTTATTCTCATGAAATCATTAGTGACTTTGGCTCCAAATAAGAAACCTGCTCCTCTGGGACTAGTAGCCCTAGAAATAAAAAAAATATTGGTAAATTAACATTTGTTTACTGTTTTTTTTTTATATTTGTTACACAAGGCAGAATTGTGATAATAATTATATTCATTTTAGTTTGTAATTTATTATATATTTATTTATTCACGAGATGTCCCCATTCATATAAAAATTTAACAAAAATAGAATATCCTAACCATAACAAAAGTACTAAAACTAAATATTAAATAATGATTAAATAAATGATTAAATTGAAATTCATTAAATTTTTCTGAAAATCTTATTAAAATAAAATGAAAACTCGTAAGTTAAGGGATGCTCAAAGTTTAAATAAAATATTGCAAAAGCTATGGTAGGTATTGAGATACTTAATTGTTTTTTTATATGATAGGTCTTAAAAAATTCTAGTGCAGTAACTCTTTATAAATTAATAAATTGTTTAAACAATTTTTTTTTGTTTAAAATTAGAGTTAAAAAAAATTTAAAAGTTATGTCACTATAGAATTTTTTCAACTTTCTGATTCTGTTTTTACATAAACATAAAGTGTAATACAAAGCAGCTGTTTTGTTTAAACTTTTTCAAAAAAAGCTAGAAGCTCTGCTAATAGTTATCTCTCTCAATCAACACAAGCTGTCCTGTCAATATCTAGTTACCAGGTATATACTATATACCCTATACTCTCTCGGTAGGGTGAGAAATAATATTGAAACAAAAGCGAAAATTTGGTGCTTATTAAATGGACAAAATTTATTCAAATTCAAACTATTGACAAACCAGAGAGTTTATAGATTTTACAATGGGTATTCAGGAAAATGTTTATGGGTCCAACTAAAAAGTCGACGACAATTGGCGAAATTGTATGTAGACCAGTGTAAGTACATATTATTTAATTTAATTGTTTGTTTGAATAGAAATATTTTCTGTTTATTTATGCCATTTTTCTTCTAAGTTTTTATAACTGTTTTTATAACAATATTAATGTTTCACTATTTGCTTATATAATAATAATGTATTATGTAGAAACAGTGTAGAATTTTGTCCAATCACCCAGTACATTTTTTTTGTATTTCAATCAGAATTCTTCTCTTTTCTTCTTTACATGTGCTCAGTGTAATACTCAAATATTTTGTAGTAAATAGAAGAGACATGGACAATTTTTATAATACAGCCATGGAATTAATGTTAGCTGCTGGAAGGAAAAAGTTTCTTTCTATTTTCATGTTCATTTTGTGAGAGGATCCTTTTTTTCTGGGTATGCAAAAACCCTAACTTCTTTTATATATTCTTCTTCTTAGGGTGCCTGTCTGTCCAAATGTTGATGATCATTCTGGCTATGATGATTTTGTTGGTTGCTACACGAAATAGCTGTGTTGAGGTCTTTCTATACCATACTCTCAGGTTAGCAAGCCTGGATATTCTTCTTCGTCCTGGGGTTCTTCTTCCTTCAATTTTACCCTGCAAAATGCATTGGAGTAGCTCATATCTGCCTTGATCTCTCATTATGTGTCACAAGTACTCCAGCTTACCGCTCTTCACGATGTTGACCAAATCTGCAGTTGTATTCATCTGTCATATTATATATAAAAACAAATAACATTCCCATATGTACTCTAATTCTAACTTAATTTCATAAAAAAAACAAAGATCATAACATTGCATGTGTAATAAGCTAAAACAGCAAACATTCTTACCAAGTATCTATATAATCAGGGTCAGACCATACCAAATCACAGAATGCTCCTTTGTGAGGTATTTCTTGATTCCTCTCTAATATTCTAATTTGATCTAAGGTTTTAATTTCTGGACTTAATCCTCCATGAACACACAAAATTTTCTCATCTATTATCTAAAAACAAATAAAAAGGGTAAAAAATAAGGTAAAAGATTAGAAGCAATAGAAATGAATGTGTGTATTTATAGGGGGTGAAGCTGCTGCCTATGAGATTTACTAATACTTATCTCCTTTTGTTGTATTAATGATGAAGTCTACCTTAGTATAGCTGTATGAGCATGTATGACAACAATTAATAGCATGTATGAAATATTAAATAAAGGAAACACTTACCGCAGCAATAGTCAACAAATCAAATACACCACAGCAATACTTCCAAGCATTAACATTTCCATACTTAGTCATACATTCATCATAAAAGCCATAAACCTGCGTGATCTGCCTACTTTCGTGATTGCCCCTTAATAATGTGATTTTGTTTGGATACTTCGCTTTGAGCGTTAGAAGTCTTGTAAATGTTTCTAAACTGTAGTAACCCCTATCGACAAAATCCCCTAAAAATACGTAATTGGTATCGGGAACTTGTCCACCTTTCCGAAATAACTCTTCGAGATCATAAAACTGAAACATAAGAGATGTAATTTAATACAGAACTCGAAGGGAAATAGTAAATTGAGTCTCTAACCTGACCGTGTATATCACCACATACAGTAACGGGAGTAGATACAGGTTGAACGTTTGATTCTTCTAATAAAATACTGCACACTATATCACATAACTTTTTAAGATCATTTTCTGGTAAATATTTGCATTGTTTTGCAATTTCTATCCAATTATCAAGCTCAGAAGACATTGTTTCTGGTCAATGATAAAAGTTAAAAGCTAAAATGACAGAAGACATGACACTGCTAACCTGTCAAATTTCAAAGCCATTTTAATAGCTCTGTTCATTTCACTTTGATCAACGTAAAGATTTCTTCTCTAAAATTGGTTAAATTTTAATAAACATTATGTTACTTAACCCGACACGGTGCTTAAACGACAATAGGATACTCTTATGAGCACTTCTTTCAATTAAACTTTATAGATAGAACGGTTCTGTTAATTAAAATAAATGTTCTTGTTTATTTTCTTGATTTTAAGAGAAAAAGCAGAAAATAGTCTAGGAAATAGTCTGTAATTTTTGTTCGGAACTTCTGGACAGAACGTAATCCAGTCCAGCACGTTTCATCAGTTCATCTATGCTTAAATAAAATGACGTCAGAAGTCTTTGTTTTTTTAATTTTTTAAGACATAAAACTTGCTTTGACATTTAGATATAATGAAAATTTTGGTAAAAACATTGTAACAAGTAGAGGATAGTGAACTAAATAAAATAATATTGTTGTAAGTATCTACTACTTTAACTTTTTATTGTTGTTTGTGCCAATTGTGCCTGATAATTTCTCTATAGGAAGTAAATATTTCTGGAAGGTTAATATTTTGTCGACATTGTCAGTAAAACTGCGAGGTCATTGTCGATTTCTAAATGATTTTAGGGCCGATTTATCTTCAATTTCCAAATATGGATATAGATAATGGACCAGAGGTGCCAGTACCAGTCAGTGGTACAGGTGTGGATATTGAACAGTCTTTTTTACAACAGTTCAGTTGTATGGGGACAACAGACAAAGATGAATTGATTCAACAACTGCAAAAGCTTGTTGGCAGCCAACTTAATTACTCCACAGCTGCGTTTTTCTTGGATATGAACAACTGGTAAGAGGACAATGTTATTGTTTAGTTCAGGTCAGCTGATGTAACATTTTTATGTGAGTGACAAAACCTGCACTTAGTTACTTTAAAAATAGGTCTCAATTATGATACCTAACAATAAAGATAATTGATAAATACTATAATTAATAATCACTAGTTTCCAAGTATAATTTTCTGTCAATGATTCACCATTCTTAGTTAGGTCACAGCATAGGAAACAAATTTGTTTCCTATGCTGTGGTTAGGTCTTAGTGTTGTAAAAAGGAAACTACAACAAGGGAAAAACTGGATTAAAGGAAAAGTATAAAATGTTACAACAATTGTCTAACAACTTTATTATAATTATATGAATTAAAATTTATAGTGTTTAAGTTCATTTCATATTTTAATGATTTTTGTGTATTTTAAGGAATTTACAAGCAGCAATTTGCTCATATTTTGATATAGAGTCTCCATGCCCTCTTCCATCCATGAAATTGATCTCAGATCCTGTAGCAAGTGAACACACAGATGTAGAACCAAATATCAGGTAAGTGGCAAGCTTAATTATCTAGTAATTATGATAGTGCAAGCACAACATTAATGTCAGATTTTTAATATTTGTTTATTTCTTTTTTAGGTTTAAAAAGTCCTGGAACATAGTAAATAGTGGTACAGAGAAGTGGCCTGCAAACTGTTATGCTCAATGTTCAGATGGTGATAATTTTGGAGCTGATCGAGTTCATGTTCCTTGTTTAGATCCAGAAGAGGGATATCATTTGGTTGTAGATATGGTTAGTCCCACAGTACCTGGCATATATCAAAGTAAATGGAGAATGTGTACAGACATAGGAACTTATTTTGGTGGTAAGGGCATTATAATATAAAAATTCCTATTTTTTTAATTTCTATTTATTTTGTTATAGGTCACCTAGGGTTAGTGTGACATAAAAATATGCAAATTTGATTTTAAAATAAAAAATATATATTTGTTTTTAATTGAACTGTTTTAGATTTTTAATGAAAACTTTCTGGTCAATTGTCACAATCATTGCACAGTAGGGTGTCCCGTCTTTGCATAAAAAAATTTCTTTTTGAGCTACACTATCGCAAGACGTATCCAAATTTGCGTAATTTTCCAGAGATTATAAAAAAAGTAAAATAAATACGATAGCACGTCACCTTCAGGGCTCTACTAGACTTTAAAGTTTTGTAAATTTTACGTTTGTACAGACCTAAATCATATACTTCAAATAATACACAAATTAAATTTAAAAGATATTTTATTATTAAAATTAATGAAAAAGGTTCAAAACAACTTAACAAACAAAATAGATCCTATATTTGATGACAAAAACTTAAAATTTGAACTTATTTTTGTGTCCAAAATTTGGCATTTCTGCCCGAGACTGCAACCTGGTTCTGATAAAGCTATCTCTAGAAGTAGCATCAGTTACGTTCTGCGAGGCTTCTGTAATCAGTTTAACACATCTTTCCACAGATTGTGTGTGGCAGGGAAAGTCAAAAATATCCAAGCTTTTATCTTTTACCATGATGTGAAGGTCCTCAGTAGAAATATGCCGAAGAACCGGCGGTGTTGTAACCTGACATTCGTGCCACATAATAATATCGGTGTAATCTTTAGCAGAGAAGTTAATTTTTGGTGTTTTAAATATTCTGCGTTTATCGTTACTTTCAGTGTCTCTAGCTTTTTTTATTCTTCGCCATGCCAGCTCCCTAATGTGATCTCTATCATCAAACAACATACTCACAAGTAAGTTTTCTGGGTGGGCAAAAAAGGCATTTCTTTCGATAACGGTATCCACAACAGATCTTAGATTTTCGGGTAGAAATCGAGAGTACATAATTAGTTGAAAAATATGCTTTGCTCCATCCTTAAAAGACGATTTTTGCTTAATACTGAACCACATCGGAGCATATACTTTAACAACATAGTTTACAAGCAATTGTAAATTTTCTGATGGATTAAGCGTACTTACATAAAGTCTGAGTAGACGATTAGCAGTAGTAAGCCATCTGGAGTGCGCCATTTTTCCAGGTTGACGGTTTGCCAATTCAGGAGTACAGAAACCGGTTAATACTGCTTGACATATTTCATATAGATATTTTTGATCTGTACTTAATTCATTGACTACATTTTTTGGCAAGTCAGGCAAATTACCATTCATACCAGAAAAAGTCACGGTGGGGCTGTTTTCATAAGCAACTAACTGTTTTCCAATAGGTCCGGAGTATTCTCTAGGACCCGAAGTAGAACCATCTATGGTCAGGAACAAGTGACGAAACGGTAACTCATTGGCATGAAGCAAACAAACGCACCATTGTAACGGTCTCTCCAAATACTCCTCTAAATATTGAATCACGCCACCCTTCCAGCCAGTATTAGTTGCAGTTCCATCACATCCAACGCAAATTACAGCATCTAAATTCAAACTTTGACCCTCAAAAAAAGTTGTGATCGAAGTAAAAATTCCATTTGCAGTGCCACGACTAGGCGTTGTATGTCCCAAAAAAATTGATCCGGGTTCTGATAACAATGAGATGTGTTCTTCCAAAATCTCTTTGCGATGGTAACGATTCCCTATTTTCTCATTTATCAGGGTCTTGTCCTTTCGTCCATCAAAGTAAATGCTATTTACAACAATACCTGCAACATCTTTTGAAGCATCTCTTCGGGCTTTACATACAGCTCTGTGGATTTTGTTTTTATCAATAACCAGTGTCAGATCTTCGGTAGAAACCAAACCCACATCAACCAAAACGGCAGAAGCAACAGCAGCAACAGATCGCATCGATAAACCGTATCTATCACTGACTTTAGCAACTGTTGGCAACGGCAACGTATTTCTATTAAACGTGGAAGTCAACGGTGTCTCTGTTGAGAAAGAGTGAGGCACTGCTTCTTCATCACAATTTTCTGATATAGAATCGGTCGTTTGAGTAACACACAACTTTTTTGTTGCCCTCATTGATTCTTCCATTTTTCTCTGCTGTCGTTTTATGAACCTGGCAGTTTCTTTCTTATCAACACCGCCTATAACCATTTTCCTGTCATTTCTTTGATCCAACAGAAAGTCTCTATCATTGATGGGAACTTTTTTATGTTTTAAACAGGAACAAGATTGAATAGAAATACATTTACAAGCAGCAACGTCGAAAAGATTTTCAGCTGACTCTACAAAATACTTCACTTTGTTTTCAAAACTGTTATTTCGTTTGATTTTGGGGTGTCGTTTCAAACTGAGGTACTTTTCGAAATAATATTTTAGTAACTGAATAATCCGTTCCTTAGTTACGATTGGAATCGAAGCTTTTGTCCAAATATTAATAACTTCTTCAGAAACAATGGCATATATTTCTGAATTGGATGGATCCTTTCCATTATACTTTAATTTTAGATCGTTCTTCACAAATAAAATATATTTCATAACATCTCTTATAGTTGGTAGCTGTCGATCGTCAAGTTCTTTGTAAGGTCCCATAATAGAACAAGTAGTCTCACTACGCCTAGAACTCATGATTTAAAACTCACAAAATCAGCTTTTGACACTAGAACAAACGCAACTGTAATGATGTTGAACGTCGAACGACGTGTCGACCACACCCCGAGCCACCTTCTCCTTCTACTTGTCTTTCTCCTACCATCAAAGCAGATCTGACGTAATCAAAGTTCACAGAATTCTCTAACTAAACTTTAACGTAACGTATAATACGACGCAGTATTATACATTATATACAATAGTACAGTACAATCTCAATTTATTTTAGTTCAGGAGCCGAAAAAATATTATCACAAAAATGACAATTTTTCCAAATTTTGAATATCTGTAGAACCCTTAAGATATATTTTTATTTTATTTTTAAAAATACTGTGATAATCTATTGGCAATTACATAAATTTTAAGAGGTCTTGCATTAAATAATGTTTTATATTTAGTTCAGGATGCGAAATTAAGTATAGTGAAATATTACCATAAAAATGACAATTTTTCAAAACTTTAAAGTTTGGTAGAACCCTAAAGATATATTGTTATAATTTTTTTAAAATTATTGTGATAATTTACGAGCAATTACCCCAATTTCAAGAGGTCTTGTATTAAACAAAAACAAAAAGCGATTTTTCGGGACACCCTATTGCACAGTGAATAGGCATGTTGCCTATTTAAAATTCATTTTACATTATTTTTTATTTAAGAGGGTGTGGCAGTCGTAGCTCAGTGGCTATGTTACTGGATTAACAAACTGGAGGGCCTGGGTTCTAATCCCTGCACTGGCAAAATTTTCAATTTCTAATTTAACTGATCTGTCACTGTGCTTCGGAGGGCTTGTAAAGTCTTCAGTCCCAGCTATAAAAGTAGTCATTAAGTCATGTTAAGGGCTCTTGCGTGACCTGAGAACTCTAATACTAGACCTTAGCCAGAAGGTTACATGAACTTTACTTTTTATTTAAGAGGGTAAGGTGTCACACCATTCTTTTATTATGGGTTTACTGTGACTAGGATTAGGGATAGTGTGACAACTAGCTTTTTTTGCTATTTAAAAGCACCTAGGATTGAGTGTGCCTTGGTGTGACAAAGAAAGACATTACAAAAATATTGTAATAATTTTTGGCATTTAAAAATTGGACAATTTTAGAAAAAAATGTGAAATTTCCTATTTAAAACACCAATTTTTTTATTAAATGTAGGTATTTTATTGAGAATATTTTCTTATTTTACCAATTCAGTAACATCTAACATTCAAAAACATCAACTTTTCCATTAAAAGTATAATGAATTCTTTCACCATTAAGGGATAATATTGGATCCATAAATATTCCTATAATCTGAGACATTCTAATAAATGAACTGCCTTTTTCATTAACAACAAAACTCTTTTTATCTTTATCAACACTTCTTAATCCTACCACTTATATTTTTTCATCTTGCTTTCTCTTTTCATCAAAGTTTTCAATTACACACACATACCTAAAAGCAGTTGTACCACACTTCCCATCCATAAAAGTGGCAAGAGCCTTGGTTAATATATTCCCCATTTACAGGTTTTAATGTTGCAGTTTCCTCTAAGAATTCCTCTTCTGCTTCGTCACTTTCCCCTAAAGACATATTTTCTATCTCCTCATCACTAACTGATTCATCTTTCTTTGACTTTTTCTTGATAGTTTTTGGGCAGGTTTTCTGTTTTCCTTTAATGGACTCAGCCCTTTTTGTCTTTAAAGAACTAATGTATTATTTTGTTATTATTTCTGCAGTATCAATTCTTCATTTAACTTTCTTTTTTACGCTAGTTTGAATTATATTTTTAAGAAGCATATGCTCAAACACTTTTCCTGGTGTTTCTTGTCACACAGAAAGTTCAGTGATTTGACCCCTTTTAATGGACTGGAGGATTGGCCAGTGATTTGATGCTCTTTTAACAGAGTGATAGATGATGAACCAGCCATCCCTTGCTCTTCTGATGGGCTTCTGAAGTTAAGCGGGTAAGCGTCTCTTATCCAGCCCTTTTCAGTTGTGTAATATAATATATAATGTCCCTGGAAATGAGTCCTGATCACCAAACATACTATCCCAAATTCTCTTACCCTTATGTGTTATTGCAGGGAGTAGAATTTTCCCTTTAGCATTTCCACATGCCAAGACTGTTGTTGTCTCTCATTTGCTACCGCCAGTTAATCTTTTCCCAGGTTGACCTTCCTTGCATACAATTTTGGTTGAGCTAGGATCACTATTAAATGTTCAGGTTTTTTTAAGAGAAATTTTATTACGATCTTTAAAATTTCTCCACCAACCATCCCCGGGTCGATCATTTTTAAAAGAGACAGTAAGGTTGTTTTTCTGAATGAATCCTTGCACAATATCTTTTACCTTTTCTTTGTTGAGTCCAAAACCCAATTTATTTATTACAGTTAGATATTTAACAAGTCATTCTTCATAAATTAGCTGACATTTGCCCTGATAAAACATTGGTTATTGCTTGGTTTAACTTTTTTGTGTTTATTTTCCACCTTGTAAACCCTTATTTGATTTCCTCTTATAGACTCGAGGTAGTCTCTATTGAACAAATAAAGGTACATTAATACATCATGTTACATAACTTTTGTTGTATTTTAATCACTAAATCACCACATAACATAAACAATAAAAGTTGCAAGTTACTGTCAACCATAACCTGATCAAACTAAGGTATTAAGTGGTGCTATTGTGACATGTCACACTATGCCCATGTTTCATTGTCACAGACACCCCACAGTGTGAAAATCTGTGTGGTTACTGTGACATACCTAAAAAAATAATAGTTAAAAGACAATTAGGCCTTGTTTAAAATAAATTATGCAATACTATGCAGAGAAAAGATCATAATTAAATAGATATGATTTTGAAAAAATCCCAAATTTGGACTAATATATCAGGATTTCAAATTCGAATTAAAATACATACATAAATAAATACTATAATTTGAACCCAAAAAACAGAATGCACTGAAACAATTTTTTTTTAATAATCTGTTGAAATTCAATAAGTGTAATATAACATCATATGTAATATAATAGCACAATATAAATTAGTATTTAAGATTGTCACATTAACACCGCTGTCACACTAACCTTAGCTATATTTTTCTTAATTATTAGGCTCAATTTTTAGTTTTTTTTATATAGTTTTTCACAATTTTGTCTTACATATACCAATAATATACTTTTTACAATTTATTTCTTAATATTTTTTGGCTATTTCTTTTATTTGTTTGTACTTTTTCCAAAAACAACATGATATCCTATATTCCCACTTTACACTTTTGTTTGGTTTTTAGATCCAATGTGGGTGATAGTAACTGTAGTGGAAGAAGGCACAGTTGCTTTAACAAATCAACTATCTCATTTTAACGAATTAGGTGCATTACCTCCCCCTACTAGTAACTATAATCCCTTTTCACCACATCAAATCCATATAGGACATACCCCGGTAAGATTTTATAGATTGAATCCAGTTTAAGGCGATTAATTTATTTTTATTATTTTTAGGATACAGCCCCTCCAGATGGAAAAGACACATCCATGTTTTAGTACCTGCTTAAACTATTTTACAGTGCCACACTTTAAGGAGGGAGAATGCATTTATGTGAATGAATAAATGAAAAAATATATTATAGTTAAAATACATATTTTGCAAAAAGTATAAGAGTTTGCTGAAAGAAGAGTGATTAGATATAGGTTATTCATTTAGAGTTAGTAATTTTATATATTTAACTGATATCAAGAGGCAATTATAGAGATATTGAATTTATTTTAAAGAGGGACTTGTCTTAGAATTAATCAAATATGTATAAATGTTTTTGTAATTCGTTGTTTATCTTCCTAATCAAATTGTATACAATTACATTGGGAATATTATCACATTTTTATTATCTTTCCTTTCAACATGTCGAGTTGTAAGGTTACAAAAAATATGATCAAATACACTATGGAAAAACAAAATTAAGGATGTTAACTAAGATTTTCCTTATTCTTTTTTTTTTTTTTCAAGTTGTGATAATTATATCCACAAAATCTTTTTACTTTATTATTTTTTTTATATAGTTTGTCAACACTTTATTTGGTATTATACAGAGTTATAAACTCACTCTAATATCCAAAACACTTACAAAGTGGATAAAAAGTGATTTTTTTACATTTACATTGAAATTGGACTGTTATTGGTCATCACAGCTTTTAAAATTTTTATCACAAATTGTCAAAAGGTTTTTAATTTCCATTGTACATTAAGTGAAAGATTAAAAGTGATAGTAATTAATAAAATTTTTATTTTGGATACAAAACAGGAAGAAGATAAAATGTTATGAACAACACTTTGATTTGAAAATAAGAGTAGGAGAGAATAACAGTGGTTACAAAATTAATAAACAATTTTATTGTTTATTAGCATTTCACATAAATTTACTGACATAGAAATCTGAATGCCCATTATAAATTATGAGTTAAAAAATATTTTGTGCAATTATTATACATAGTAGCAAAATAAACAAGCGATCCAAATTTCAATATGATTGAAACAACTTACAGGGGTAAATAGATTAATATTGTGTTGTAAATTAACTCCTCCTGAAATCACTTCCCAATAGTTTCTGATTTAGGAGCCAGGTCAGAAGATTGACTCCAGCCTGCATGGAAGTCCATGGTGAATCTCGCAATGTGTGACCTTGCATTATTCTGCTGAAAAATTGGAGGTTGCCGCATCAAAAGATAAGATATAAGATGAGATTCCAGAATGTCTTCTACTTGTCGACAAGCTGTCAAGCTCTTGACCTTGAACCACACCATAACCCCAACATGCTGTTCGTCAAAAAACTGAATTTTACCTTTTACCATGTTACTTTCTGACCTTAGCTTGGTCATCATGCATCCCTAAACAAAATCGAGATTCAACACTTAAGACAACCCCGTTGATCTTCTGGTCCCAAGTTAATTGTTCTCTGCCTCTGCACCCAGTGTGACTGAAATGAAAAAAAGGCCAAAACTGAATTTTACAATAAATTCTTTGTATTCTAATTGGTCTTCCGTGTTCTGCAAACCGTTGATTTGCAATAGACCGGTAGTGGAGAAGTGATCTCTTAGAGCCATCAACCTTAGGCAACAATCTTGATGTCCTGTTGTTCTTCAGAAGCCACTTTGTGCTCCTCTATCTTCATGTTCGACCTTCTTGACGCAGTGATGCACCCAGAGTGGAAGGGTTTTGGGGGGTTAAACCCTACCCAGGACACTATTCATACACTGTTACCCACAAATTTTAAGGACTCAAAATAGAGGTAGCATAAAAAAAATTTTGGTGACCAAACAAATCCACTCCCACAGGAAAATTCTAGGTGCGCCACTGCCTTGACGCCATGGCCGATAACATCTAACACCGTATCTAAACTTCTGTGAACCTTATTCACAATTTCCTGAAAAGAAAGTCTGACTTGTCTTAAGGCTAAGTATAATATAAAATGAAAACCGAAACTTAGAATGGATGTTCTGATTTCTATGTCACTTAATATATTTCTATGTATTTTAGAGCATTTGGAATGTTTTGTTTACATCTAATATCCATCTAAATGGCTAGTACATCAAAATTTTTGTTGATCAATGTATTTTAAGTTAATAATTGAATACCATTTGTTAGTTGAAATAATCGTTAGTGTATAATAATCAAAAGTATCAGTTTCCTCAGGTTTAAAAAAGTCAAGTAATTATCTCTTTAATTGTCCTTATTATTTCTAATGAAAAATGGACTTTCTAGTTGTAATTAAACGAAGGTGCAAACTTAATTTAACAAAATTACATTTTGGAAGTTGCTACACCTGGATATTTTTCAATTTTCACAAAATTTTTTGGTAATTAAACACTCTTATTTTATTTTTCTCAAAAAATGTTTTGTCTCATAGTTTGAACAAATAAAGATTTTGGAATAAACTGTAGTGTCTTTAAACTTTGGGATGGGAAATGGGAGCTTACACAAAATATACAATGAATGCTCATCAGAAGGGCTCAAATATTAATGCATCAAAATATATAAATGCATGACCGTGCGACTTGGTCTTTAGTTTCTGAACTGATAGTTGTCCAACTGAAGGCAATTTTACATTTCACCTATCATGTAGATCCAGATTCCAGATCGTCAGTTCTGGTCAAAAACATGCGCGATTGGATACTTCTTTTGTTGCAAGAATCATTGTGCGAAATAAAAAAGCGTTTTTGATGAAATATTGGCTTTTGGACTGTGAGAGATTATGTCACATGAAATTACTGAGAAAACTAATAGAAAATAGTAAAGGTGATTTTAAAAAAGTATATCAGGATTGGACGAGGTCTACTTGACTTCTACTAGCAACGTTGACTTCAAATTGCGAAGTGTCCATGTAGGTCGAATTTTACCACAGTAGGACGGTGTGGTATGCAAGTGATAACCGTTCGTCTATGATTTCGGCATGTGCGCCACCTGTATTAAAATATTTTAACTTCTAAACAATGTAAAATAGTTTAACTTGAAATATAGACGGTAAGTAAAAACTTATTTTGCTGTAATATTTTCAGAATACATTTGAGAAAAGGTGTATTTATAATCTAAAAGATGCAGTTACTTTCTATTTTGAGTTTTAGCAAAAACACAAATTATGTTCCAGATTTACCTTCATCTGAAATAACTGAAATTTTTCACCACTGGAATATTGCACACAGTTTTTCTCTTTTGTATAATTGCTAATTTTGAATATTAAGGCAAATATCGAGCACAATTATTAATCAAATCTTGCCCAAGTACTTTCGCTTTCTACAGCATCATCAGGAATTTCGTCAAATTTGGGCTATCCAGCAAGCGCAGAATGTAATAAACATGAGATTGGACATAAATTGTACATAACTTAAGACAAACAGTTTAACATTATTCTAACGCTCTACATTCTTGTCGGCAACTGGAGAGAGAATGGTATTTTTTTGCCGACAGTTTTTTTTCCAGTTGTCGACAAGAATGTAGAGTGTTGAATAATTTTTAATAACTTTTAAACTGCTTGTCCTTGTGTTATGTACAATCTATGTCCAATCTCATGTTCCATTACATTCTGCGCTTGCTGGATAGCCCAAATTTGACGAAATGCCCCTGATGATGCTGTAGAAAGCAAAAGTACTTGGGCAAGATTTGATTATTAAATTTGTGCTCGATATTTGCCTTAATTTTCAAAGTTCATTTATTCGAGCATTCAACCTCATATCAATTATAATTGCTAATGTTGACTGAAAAAACAGATTCCTCTCTACAACTAAGTAATGCAGAACTTAAAGAATATATTTACATAACTTAATACAATGCCTTTATGACGTTTTACTAAAATTAGAAGGTACTTACATTTTACTGATAATTCTCAACTATCCCCAAATACTAAGACCGATTTTTCAAAATAAGATCAAAATTTAAACTAACAGAAAAAATTAAAACAAATTGTCAGAAGTTCCACATTAATTGTTCGTAAAAGACAGAGTTTCTCTGGCATCATCAAAGACTTCATAGGTTATAAGGGTGCGTTTACGTTTGACCAGTTAGCAGGTACCTCTCACGAATTGGCAAGTAGAAAAGGAGTTACGTGTTGGTGTCAGTATTGTTGCACTGTGCAAAACCATTCCAAATCTAGAAGAGATGGTAGTATTTTTGATAATTATTTTAGCATCCTACTATTGCTTCCATTTTTAAAAACCACCTTCGGAATTCACTGCTTAGAAACATTTAGTGCAGATATAATTGCCGATTGTAGATTAGCTGACAAAAATTATGCAAATGCAAACCTAGAGGCTCCTTGTCTATAAATCTCTCCTCACTCCCACAAGGGGATAATTCTGGTAAAATGGCATAACAAATGTGTGTTATTAGGTAGTCCTCTGTCCAAGATAGTATACAGGCCAAGAAAGCTGATGTTTCTTGGCCTGTTTATTGTATGTTACAGTTATCTCTGCTACAGCAGTTAACGTAAATCCATTTCGAAATAAAACATCCTGTATATTGTTAATATTAAATGAAAGAACAATGTCTTGTTAATTTTTTATTTGCTTGAATAAATTCCAAGTAAAAGGCAGATTAAATTACAGTGTATCCTTACAAAACAAATTCATTGAGGACAAAATAGAATTCCATCTAAATGAAAAATTATAGAAAAACTCTTCTTCATGCATTTATACAAAAAATTCCAATTAATCTTTCCCAAACTAGATTTTTCACAGAATTTCTAATATGAAAGTAGTTATAGGTACAATATTAATATAAACTATCTATTTGTTTACATTAAATTCTGAATATAAAAAAAAAATACTAATCAGATTCCTAGTTTCTTACTTGACAGAATTTATATCCGTCAACTCGGTCTTGAATTGCTTACCACCATCACCTGAAACAAAAATGCACAGACAGTTAATATATTTGGTTCACTGCCTCCAGTCTCAACTGTCTAGTAGATTTAGTCATATAGTTTTTTTTGGTTGCTTTAAATTTTGACAGACTGCAAGTGACTGGAAATTACTATACAACCAAGCACCTCATTGGTTAAGTTTATTTTACTATTAATAGTGAAAGGTAGAAATGTTTGTCTTTTATGTTTCTGACAATAAATCTGTCAAAATATTCAAGAGCTAAGCGAACTGACTATAGAAGGAAATTGTTTCATGGGAATAGGTGTTCTCTGTTTCTGGGAATACTAAATGAAAAAAAAAATTGTTTAAAAAAAAGTTTGAAAAGAATGTAATAATCTAATAATGATCAACTAACAAATCAATAAACCAGTGACTGAGAGTTTAAAAAATGGTTCATAATAGCGGTTTTATTGCTGGATATCATCTATGAGTAGAACACTAATGAGAATGTAATATTGTAATCAACTATTTCTTTTTGAGTAAATATTTATTTTTTAACCCATTTTAAAGGAAACAAAGGGCTCTAAAAACCACATGTTCCCAACATTTTCTCCTTTATTTCGAAAATTATTGATTTTAGCAAATAATTTATTGTGTGAAACAGGAAAAAAAAATAATTTTCTACAAGAAAGGCATGTTAAAAAATATTAATATCAAAATATAAATATCATTTGATAGTAAATTTAATTATTATATAAACTAAATATGTTTAAAAATAATAATTGTATTTTATATGAAATTATTTAAAAAACAAAAATTATTTTATAATTTTGACAATCGTTACGAATCGAATCTTTTAGTAACAGATATTCTTTTTTATTTTTTACTTCTCATTTAATGTCTATATTTTGTTAGATATTTTTCATGTAGTTCTTAATTTAAACCTGCTTATGAGTAAATATTTGATGACTAGAAACAAATTGATCGAGAGTAGTAAATCTATGTCAAGAACCACTATTCTATGACGACGCCTTCTCGTGGCGCTAGATCCGTGATGCTCGCCTCAGTATTTTACTGTAGAGAAAGAGAAGTAATACATAGCGTTGCGCGCTAGCTGTCTTTAATTTTATCTTTGATACCTCCCTTTCTAACAGCTGGAAATTCTAATTTTCGACCATTTTTTCTCAGGAAAACATATCATATTGAGAAAAAAATTAGATTTCATTTGATATAAAAAACATGCATCTCGTCATGAGCAGCGTATTTTATTTAAAAAAATACATAAACGAAATAAAATGTTTGTCAAAATTACTATTATTTGAATTCAAAACATTTGAGGCCACTTTTGACTGGCAACTTACAGTGGGTGATCAAATTATTATGATAGGTAACAAAAGTTTAGGTTTTTCAAATTTGTTTAAAAATTTTATAATAAAATCATATGCTTATACGATTAAGGTATGCCAATATATTTTGTCACTAATAACCTTACTTTTTTGACGTTTACAGCTTTAGAACTGTCATTTGTGTCAAATTACGTGACAACATACACATTGTGGTGTATGTAAAATGTATGTGTAAAAACATTTCGATTTTTGAGAACAAAATCATAATGGGTAAGGTTAAAGACGTCCCTGTGTCTAAAATGGTGGAGATAAAGACACTTTTATTGAATACAAAGGTTTCCAACGTCAGATTGCTCAACAATGCCAAGTACCGCAAGCAACTGAGCAATATCAAGGAAAAAAATTGATAACAACCCCATGGACGTATAAATAAACGTCCATGAACAAACCCCTTACTCACCAGCGTGCCCAAAAATGTGGTCGAAAGCGTGTCATTACACCCAGAGACGAAAGAAAAATAAGGGATATCTTCGCATGGTATAGAAAGACCTCAACACAGCTATTTCGTATAGCAACCAATAAAATCATTATAGCCAGAATGATCGCCAACGTTCGGAACGGACAGGCACGCTAAGAGAAGATCTTCGTAAACAATAGAAATAAGCCAATAAGAATCCACACGGGACTTATTCGTGAAGCTGGGATGCCAGTTTCTGACATGACAGTCCGCAGAAGGCTTGATGAGCAAGGTTTCAAATGTCGCTGCAAAAATCAAGTTGACACGCAATGTGAAAAAGAGACTGGAATGGGCCAAAGAACACCAAAATTGGAAAATTGAGGATAGGAATAAGGTAAATTACGTCACTACTAAGTTTAAATCCTTATAACCACTGTTTTTATCCTAAAAAAAATATCTTTCTAAGTTTTTTTTATTCACAAGTTTGTTTCTGCGATGAGTCTACAGTGGAGATATTCATGGATAAGTCAGTCTTCTTCCGAAGGCGAGTGGGTGAAAAATATCACAAGGATTGCATAGTGGAGCGAGTAAAACATCATCTCAAGATCATGGTATGGTCTGCGATCAGCAGTAAGGGCACAGGGAGGCTATACATTGTGAATGGAATGATGAATAAACATCAGTATATTGAAGTTCTGGAAAGAAAGCCCATGTCACAAATTAAAGATTGGTTTGGCGAATCGGAGGATTTTACCTTTATGCACGATTCAGCATCGTGCCATAAGGCAAAAACAGTAACATCATACCTAGAAAAAAAGAAAATTAAAGTACTGAAGTGGCCAGGTAATTTCCCCAGACCTCAGTTCGATGGAAAATCTATGGGAGCTTATGAAGAGTGATATTGCCCAGAAAACTGTCACAAATAAGAAGCAGTTAATTGAGAGACTCAATGCCACCTGGCACAGAAACGATAAAATAAGAGAAGACTGCCTGAGAAACATTCAAAGTATGCCAAGGAGGATCAAAGCTGTCATCAAAGCTAAAGGTGGTCACACAAAATATTAAAAAAAATGGTTATTTAAGGTCAAAGAAAAAAATATTTTAAAATTTTGTAAAAGAACATGTTTATGATCTATTTTTATATTATATTCACATCATTAGAGCTTATATGCAGTTTTATTTTTTATTAAACAGCAAAATACAAAGTTTTTTGAAGTGATCATAATAATTTGATCACCCACTGTATTATCAATGTATCCTCCTGATTTTAAATGTATGTAAAACTGTGGAAGAAAAGTTCTATACTTATTTAACTGAAATTTTTATATATTATACTTATTTAACTGACATATTTGTCATCTTTTTCATACCTTCTTGTTCTTCTGCACGACGTTTACGTCCAAACCTTTCTTTATATATGTTCTTTGGTGGTGGTATGGGCTCCACTCCCAATACCTGTAAATTTAAACCTTATTAATTTTTAATTCAAATTTCCTCTTTTGAATATTATCACCTTGTGAATTTGTCTAAATGCAATCAATCTCAGAGCATGTTGAGCAGAGCAAGTGAGATCTTCGCGTTGTTGCGCCGACAAAGTTATACAGGCGTCGGGTGAGTCTTTTTCGCAAGGATCAGCTAAACCTACACCTCCGGGCAGAAGAATACCGCTGGCAACGGCTTCCATAACTCGACGTAGGGCGTCTCCAGGAGATAAATGCGACATACCGGGCACCGAAGAAATAACTTTTTCTGTTAGTAATTCCATAGCCTAAAAGTAAATTTATAAAGTTATCAATAAAAACGAACAAGATCAGGTCTGGAATCATAAATAAAGCTATATTATGACAATTATTGCAAGAGGGAAGAATCTCGGAAAATATAACCTCAGCGACGCAGTCACCAGTCAGACTGCATTTTTTATTTAAAATCTAATATTAAGACGAAAAATTAAAATAGGTAAAGAAATAATAAATAAGACTTACTCACAATCAATTTAATTTAACTATCAGACGACCGGTTTCGCTTTCTACAATATGCAAAGCATCCTCAGGTCTCGATACAAAGTTAAACAAATGATGCCTTAACCTTCATAAAACAATTACTCAATAAATAACACACATTTCAAAAATATATCTCTCGAATAAGTATAAATAGCTTTTAATAACACAATGGTATTTTACATCACTTTCATTTAACAAACAATCACACACATATCTCTTCTTCATTGGATCAAATCTATCTCCTCAAGAACTTCCCGTTTACTGTCAAACAACTGCAATAATAGAATTGAGTTCTCCATTCAACAATACATAGTAGTTTCAACCATGTTCTACCATCCATCAATTAATAGAGTACCGGCATCATTTGTTTAACCTTGTATCGAGACCTGAGGATGCTTTGCATATTGTAGAAAGTGAAACCGGTCGCCTGATAGTTAAATTAAATTGATTGTGAGTAAGTCTTATTTATTATTTCTTTACCTATTTGAAATGGACTCACACAAGCAACACATTCATGATAAGAAAAATTAAAGATAACCTAACTTTATTTTAAATGAAGTTTAAGTTCAATTCAAGAAACATATACAGTGTGTTCATAAAGTGTGGAAACAGTCTATTATCTCACGACTTTATTATTTTCAGAGTTAAAGCCCTGACAGTTCGATTTTTATTTTTGTTTTTTAACCTTTTTGAAAAAGAGAACTTTTACCCCTACTATCTTAGCAGATGTGATGTCATCGATATCTTTTAAAATAGAAAGGGTATATTTTTATCTAAAAAATTAAAAGCCCATATTTTTCGGAGTACAACCGTATCAAAATCATCATATTCAAACTTCAGTATCCAGAGTGTAAAGTGCTCTTATTTCTTAAAATTTAATTAAAATTTATTTTACAAAGAAAATTATTAAAGAAGACATTTCATATTAAAGACAAACAAATAACATAAATGATATGACTTTGTAATGCGCTGTAGATCAACAATAAAATAAATAAAGTGGTGACGACCGTACTCAGTATATTGCCAAAAATCAAGTAGGCTGTGAAGACATGTCAAATTCCTTAGCAACCAGACAGTCAAGTTCCTAGTTACAATTGGATAAGTCAATGTTAAATTGATTTGTTGTGTCACATCGACTTAGAAGTCTGCACTAGTATCTTTTTAAGAAATATTACCCTAATAGTAATTATTTTAAATTACGATGGTGCTGTCAGAAAAACAGCGAATAGAAGTTTTTGATGATCTTAGGTTACGGTGGCGAATTTCGAAGTGGTAGAGGTATTTGTATGCTTTGGCTCTCTGATAACCAACAATGGCGATTGCTCCTCAGAAATCAAGCGTAGTATAGCAATGGCCCGAACCGCAACAGCTAAACTGATTAAAATATGGATAGACGGAACAATAATCAATAATACTAAGTTCAAGTTGGTCAATGCCCTTATTTTTCATGTCCAATGTTCAATGCCCAAAAAATCGATAGTAGTAAGATTAATGCCTTCGAAATGTGTGCCTATAGAAGAATTCTACACGTGTCATGGACAGTACATAGAACCAACCTGTCAATTCTGGAACAGCTTCATATCAAAGGTAGGCTATTAAACAAAGTAAACTGAGCATACCTAATTTACTTAGTCCACATAGCTAGAAGATCGGGGATCATGGAACTATTGGTAGTAGGAGAAAAGGTAACAGGACGAAGACCAAGTAGTCTCGAAGTAGTATCTCCAACACGATGGGCAAACCAAATGAAGTTTCTGGTGGGAAATCCCTACATGAAGATATCCATATGGCACAGGATCGCAGCGAATGAAGACAGCAAGCCAATAATGTTTAGAGACCACGCCACTGCAAGGGCTCAAGAAATGAGGGAGAGGAGGAAAACGATTCTGTCAATCATTAAAGTATCACAATTACTATATGCAGTGTTTCCCTTTATCACCCCTACACTCAAACCCTACTCAGATTCTGCATTTTTGAATGCGCTTTTCTCGAACACGGTTGAAATTATCAAAATAAATCAAATATAAAAATCACTAAAAAGTATCGTAAAAAAGAGTTTCTACCCGATTTCACCAGGAATCATCCAAGTGATGTCTTTGGAAGAAAATGTTAAATTATAAATATTATATACCCCGTTTTAAGATATGTCTCTATGCTGATTTTGATAACGACTTATCAATGTACAGTGAAATTATTATCAAAATACTTAAAAAGACAGTGTACACTTTTCCACAGCAACATTTATTTATTAAGTGGTGCAATAGCCATATTTTGGTACTTTCTATAGGAGTAATACTAAGATACTTACCCATGAGGATAATGGAGCCCATGTGGGGACTCTTTCGCATAAGTCTCTCAAAATTCTTATAATGATCACACAGGAGTGTAGACCCAACGCCCTAGCCTAAAAATATGACGAACTTGACGTTAATATCTATATTATTTCGTGGATTTTAAGAAGTTGTAAGTATGATATAATATATGTGATTTGAGATTTTTATTTATTTATTTTTATAATTTTTTATCATACATTTGATTCTACCTTGTGACAACAATACATTTTCGGTTGTTCAGCCACTGTTTGGTTATGGTACATTGTTTCGGTGTTAATAGAATTATTTCTTCCTGTCGTTTCGTTTGCAACTAGGACAAACGAAATCAACGGCGACGCCGCAAGAGTATCTGTCTGTCGCTTACTGATGATGTTCCTAGAACGTTTCCGCTATTTTCCAACCAGACTGTGTCGGTTAGTCCGAATCGGAATTAAATTGTGGATGCGCCTGAGAATAGGTTTTGTGTTTGGTAATTTTGACATACACATCTTTCAGATGCAAACCTCTTCTATACGATGGTCGGATGTTTTTAGATTTCGATAGCCTCTCTAAAAACCCGTGAATACTCGCTTGACTGAACGCGGCAGAAACTATATCCTTTATTTTAAGTAAAGGATTAGCAGTTGTAAAACACACAGGATGTGAATCTCAGCGCTATAACATAAGAAATCTCTTCCACAGACGCGCAGAAAATTCCAATACCGATTAAGACTAACCTACAGAACTCGAGCGTACGAAGACAATAAATAGTGCAGCAAGCGAAAGACAATTACGATCATTGCTGTAATGACATAATGCCCGACATTTATTTGGGAAAGAAATAATTCTAGAACACGGACTAAGAACACCCAACACATCTCTTATACATATGAGGGTTGTCGTATTAGTTTTGCATATAGCCATAAAGACAAAAAATATATAGCCTAAAAGTTCGTTATTACTTTTCAAAATATGTCCCACCAAGATCGATACACTTTTGCATACGTTCGTTATTCCAGTCTTCAGTTGACACCTACAAAATCGCTGTTTTAAAGGAATCGATGGCTTCTTTTGAAGACTTGAATCGCTGATTATGCATTGAATTATTAATCTTTGGGAACGTGAAGAAGTCGTTGGGACTAGGAAAGAAGGTCGGGGCTATACGGTGGATGGTCTGCCAATTCGATGTTTTGAAGCTCCAAAAACTCTATTGTCTTTTGGGCAGTGTGACCACTTGCACTGTCCTGATGTAAGATGATTCGCCGTTGTGTGTTGCTTTGTCGGAGTTTCCTGATAACTTCTGGTAAACAAACGGTTATATACCAAACAGAAGTAACTGTTCTTTGATTTTCTAAAGCAATTGTTGCCACATGACCAGATTTTGACACAAAAGTTGCTACCAATTTCTTTGACATACGGATCACTTTTGTTGGGTTTTCCACATCGCGAAACACCTACACAACGGATTGGCATTTATTTTCCGGTAAGTAAGAGTAAATCCAAGATCCATCGCCACTAACAATACTATAAACGTTTTTTGAGCTTTCTTTGTTGAACCGTTCCAATGTTTTTCGACACCAATTGACGCGAACCGCTTTTTGCTCTTCTGTGAGCAAATGAGGGATCCAACTTGGTAATATCCGGTTCTTCATCTAGGATCTTTTGCATCGAGGTCTTAGAAATGCCCAAAGATGCATTTATCCCTATTTATTATGTTATACCAGCCGGAAATATTTGACTGGTCGAAACCATTTCAGCGAGACATTGCTGTTGAAATATTCCTCTCCGAAAATTGTAAAAAATTATTCCTCAAAAATGTTCTCGGCTAAGATCCATTTTTCGATCTTACGATCGACCTACTTATTTCAAAAATTCAATGTATCTACATGACTTGTATCGCAATGAAACTCTCGATTTATGTCAACAAAAGATTGAGGTTACATTTGTGTCAGAAGGTTTAATTTGTTGCCCTCTAAGCTGCTATATGAAAAACTAAAAAGAAAAACCTCACAACCTTAACTCTTTTAAACTGAACAAAATACATACAAAATAATAAAAAACTGTCATACTTATAACTTCCCTTGTGACAAATACAGCAGACGTTTGCTTGGAAAAAACATTTTAATCCAATAAAAGGTAATATTTAAGTAAAAACAATCTGATTTCTTTGAGATACTTCTAAAAATGGAAAAAAATTATAAAAATTCCATATTTTTTTCAATCAAACATCATTGTTACTGAGACAGATGGTGAGAAAAGAGTATATATCCGCGGTTACATTCTGTGATCTATAATTATCTTTTATATTTCAATGAGTGTTTTAGTATAGCAATAAATGATTATTTAATATTTTGTTTATTATATGGAACAAACTATATAGATTTGTTTGCTTATCATGAGAACAGTGCTTATCAACTAGAACATTCGCATAATGCGAAGTGGACACAAATTTCTCTACGGCGCAATATCAGAATATCCTAATGTATTGTTCTCGCGACAAACAAACAACTTACAGGTCATTGGGGGCTATAAATCTGTTATGTTCTCTACTTCTATAGTAAAATTCATGAGATGAATTCATCATTGCTACATACGTACAATGTATATCAAATAACGGATAACGGTACAACGCTTACTTTAAACTTGACGTGCCAGAGCCGACTTAGCATGTCCAATATTACAAAATAGGTCTGCAAAAGTACAGTGATTTTAAGCTAGTAACATTTAAAACAACTCAGACGGATCAACATATAGGAAGCTATTTTTTTTATTTACCGTGTTGTCATTTTTAAACAAATTAAAGAAAAACAATGTCCTACGACCCTTGAAACCCGAGTTAACCCTTTGTTCTTAAAAATTTACAGGAGCTTTGTTTATAAACAATTAAGCAATGTAAAAAGAACCATTTGAAAGATTAAGAGTTAAAGTTTACACAAAAAATAATTCGATTCCATTGAAAATGGACCGTCCATGATTCATCAAAGAAAAAGGGTTAAAAGCAGCCCGATCATAAAAATGCATTTAGTTGCTGGATTGTTTAGTTAACCGAGTAATTTATTTAAACAATTTAAAATAAATATTTATTTCGCAAAATTTTGATTTTTCTTATTATTAATGGTAGATCTAGTTGTGAAATAATAGACAAGCTAAATATTTATTATTATAGTTATAAATAATATCTTTATACAAAAATGTTTACAATTTTTTTTTTAATTAAATCAAATAAAGTTGTTAATTTTTCTTGAATTATTTTTATAATTACTTTTTCTCAAAAACAGTATATTTACACAAATGAATTGTTACAAACTTCGTATAATTATAAATAAAAAATATTGAATTAATCTGTATATACAGTGAACGGCTAAATTATTGAATATTATCATTATTTCGAGAACTGTCAAGTTTTGAGGGAAATCCAGAAACAGGTCGATTTTTGTTATAAAATATAAGATATAACTTATAACGTACATGGAGTAGGGATGACGTCACCGGTGTGGGTGTAGTGACGTAATCATTAATTTTTTTTTAAATAGAAATCAGTATAATGCAATACTTCGTTTGAAGGAGAATTTAATTCTCCATTTAACGACATTACATTTTTAACTAAAATATTTTTAAGGGTACAAAAACAATTTTTTTTAATTTAAATTCAACTAATGATTTATTTCACAATGTACTTTAAAGTAACCAAATTATGCATAACAATTATTTTAAATTAAATGTTTGAAATGCCATCCATTGCTTCCTGCCATGACTTTCTGAAGTAAATACTTAAAAAAGTAAAAATAATAATAGACACAAAAAGTTATCTCATAAACACTGAGGTCACGTCATCCGTACTCCATGTTATAAGATGGGTATTTTATAACAAAAATCGACCTGTTTTAATGATAATATTCTATAATTTAGTCGTTCACAGTAAAATTAACATATTACAATTTATATAATTAATTTTACTATTTTTGTTTATAATTATGCAACGTTTATAACAAGTAATTTGTTTAAAATATATTTGTAATGCTTTTCAGTCAAAAAATAAAAGTACAACTGTAAAATTAATAAGCATAATTCACTAAAAATGAACACATAGATTTGATTTTTAAAAAGATGTTATTTATAACTGTAATACATATATATTTAAGTTACCTACCATTTCATAATCTTTTCTACTATTAATAATAAGAGAAATATAAAATAGTACAAATTAAAATATTTATTTTAAATTGTTTAAAAAATTACTCGGTTAAATAAACAATTCCAAATTCACTTATTGAATTTTTATAATATATCCAACGGGGTAACTCAAGTTAAAAAAAAATATCAATTTTCGTTGATTACAACCGAAGATATTGCAACTTTTATAAATTTGAATTTATGAATTCAATTTTTAAAATAGTAAAATCGAGAAATAAAAAAACGCTAATTGGTTGTTACTTATTAAAATTTTATAGCTGAATACATGAGATATTTTCACTATTATCACGCAAAATTAAAAGTCTTTGATGCATTTTTAGAAAAGCTTTAAATAATTTTCAAAAAATCGGCGGTTGAATCTATTTTTGCAACAAATTAACAAAAATAACTTTACAAACTATCATTTTAAAATATTTTCTACGCTTTTTTAGTAAAATTGTGTCACTTTTCCATATAATTTACCGGTCTTCCTTTAGTATTTAAAATCAAACAGCGACCTTACATTGTCTATTTTATCATTCTATATTATTATTAATAAAAGCAGTTGTTAGATACCTGTATCAAAGAGTGTCACGAAAAAGGCTTTTTATTTGCTAACTCCTATGTATATAATTATAATTGACCTCATGCGTACTGATAAATAGATCTAACGACAATATTAAACAACATAATACAGACTTCCGTATTGAATATTTTTTATTTGCCGGGGAAACTAAATGCAGTTGCTAAGTTGCTGACTTAAAAAACATACGCAGGTGTTTAAAATTCTAACTTGCCTGTATTTGACATAGATGTAACTCTAAATGTGCCTCGAGTATGATTTTATTCCTCGGACAAACTCCGTGAAATGAATTATACTCGTATTAAATGACAACCTAGCCTTTGAAATATTATATTATAGAATTGAATATACAAGAATGCCAGTGCGGCTCTGGCTTTTATACGTGTGAAGCAACTCGTATTAAATGGCAACCTAACGTGCCATAAGACTAACGCTGAATTGTTTACGTGAATCTTACTATAGATATTGATTTATAACTATTTTTCCAACGCCCTTTTTGACTATTACTGAATTAATCTTCCCAAGAATACTTTGGCGATGCAAAAAACGGTGAAAGGAAGATCTGTTGTATTATTTCGAGATACGACTTAAATCATGGTATCTTTGCATTAGAAGGAAATAAAAAACCCGTATACAATGCTTCATTACTAATTAATTATTTTATTGAGATTATTTATTAAAAATTTACTCAGGACAAAAACGGTGTTTTTTTGTTAAAAGAACCATGTCATATTTATATGCAATACTTTTATATCGGATGATACGCTAGGAAATCATATGATAATTTTTCCATCGTGTTCATGGGATGTATGTATATCATGGGAAAAAGTGTTGTCCAAGCGATGCCCCAGAGAACTGCGATCTCTAGGGGATTATAGCATTGGCACGGTATGGATGCAGTGCTATGCCTGACAGCATTCCCTCCAACTTGTGTGAATAAAGTCGACATGAGACAAAAAGATATACCCCAGAAGAGAACTCAGAACTGGATTAATAAATAAAATTGCAGAAGTAAGCGAGAGGCGAAGCCAGTGGTGGACTCTGCCTGTCTCAAATAGATCTCAATGACCTCAATCAGCGTCCGACCAGCAGTTTCTTTAGAACCAATGATGCTATTTATTATGAGACGATAGTTTATGGAATGTATTGATAAATGAATTAAAGAAAATGGTGGACATATTAAACACTTACTTTGACAAAAAGTTTAATGTTATTTAGTTTAACTATTTCTTAATGTGGTTTGTAAATAAAATGTTTTGATTATGACTTTAATTTAATACAAAACGTAAAATGTTTGATGTAAAATTCAATTATTCTGTTATTTATCAAATCCTATTATTTTATCCTGCTGATATATTTATTTTATTTAATAATTTGTTAACTATTAACTTTACTAAAAGTATTTTATACCAAAATTCAGAAGTAATGATGTTTTTCTTTAATTTTCTTTAGTTGCCTGGAGTAATTGCGATAAATCAGAATTATGTAGTTGATTTCTAAAATGCGATTATCTCGAAAACTGTTGAGTTTTGAAGATATTAAGAAGTAAACCATTTTTTTGTTAAAATAATGTATCTTTAATATTTTTTATTAAAAATACCGGTAACTTGAAGAGCAAAAAAGTTAAGTGCAAATGTATGCCACATATGTGGCATATGTGACGCCTCTATCAGCTACATCAAAGTATACATTAAATTATAATTTCTGATATTTAATAGTACCCTACTTTAATAGTAGTAAATTTTTGTACATTTATGTTGACAAACATGAAAGTTATAGCGAAATATAAAATTTAAAATTTCCACTTTAACACCCTGTATCTTTCTTAATATCAATATTTTATTAAAGCAACTTGGCTTAAATCGTAATATTATAAAGTGTAGAATCTACGGTTTCTTTTTGTACAATTACTTAAGGACCACCTTGTATATTTTGTAGGTCCAGTAAAATAAAAAGTAAAAAAGTCTCAATTTTAGTTTTTATATTATGTGACGTGAAAAATAAAATCTTGTACCCTTTTCGCCCTGTCTACATATACATCCATATCACAATGTCTATATGAAATGATTCTCTTAGCAAAATACCATTTGAACTTTTATTATTAATTATTAATTAAATGCCTGTAACTTTATGACTAAATTTTTATGAGATATATTTTATCAACAAAAGCGTTTAATTCTTATAACAGTTAATTATTTCAAAATAAATAAGCAAGACACAAAATGTTTTTTTTTCTTTTAAAATATGCGTTTACGGTGAGAGACAACGGTGTGAGAGAAGACACAAACCTGGAACCATTTGGTATGTCTGAGGGCTGCCAGCGCCTGGAGACACTTGCCGCGTGACAGAACATCCCGGTCGAACCCACCGCTTGCAGCTTCTAGACATCAAGAAAAAGGGTGTTTGACCATCGCAAGTTCACCATCGCCATCAAGGACGATACAGTACGGCTCACGACTCCGCAGAACAAAAAGTCTATGGACCAACCCAGATAACTGATTGGCGGTGAAAGGGGGGCCCATAGACTGATACACGGAGTCCTGAACCGCATGGCGACGATGAACCGGTTGGTCAAAAATCCTTCAGTCCCACACCACCTAAAATTGCTTCTTTGGAATGCGATATAGTACAGTTATCGTTACATAAGTATTGGACTGGAATGTATAACTAAATATTAATTTTATTTAAATTGTTCCTACCCCAAGATTTAATATAAGCAATAATTATCATTTAATTGTATTTGATTATGTAATTTGAACGATGCATTAATTTGAAATAGCGTTTTTCATCACTATTGAACAATTTCTGTCACTTTTTGACGAGAATATATCTCTAGAACTAAGTACATATACAGTTATATGTTTATTAGAAAATGTAGGAAATTTCATAAAACTTAACACATATAACAAGAACAATAGAAAAAGAAACAAAAAAAAAAACAAAATTTGAAAATTATAATGATATGGGTATATAATCAAAATCCAAAAGAAAGCTCTCGCTACGGGTATTGCATGGAAAATACAACTGAAACCTAGTATAGAATAGAGAATATTGTAACGATTGTCTGGCAAACTAATCCACAAATATACAACGCCACTGATGGAAAAAATAGAACCATAGAACCGAAAAGAGTAAAAATTTCGATACTTCGTTAGAAAATTATTGATAGCACAGTATTTATGACACAACTGATGATCCCAACGAAATCTCATTAATCTCTTCATTAGTGATGAAGAATATCAAAATTATTTAAAATTTTGTCTTCATAGTAATTTTAATAAACCAATTATGCTGATATTGTTTTGAAGCTATCTTCTTGTGGCATATTACAAATGACTATTTTTAGTGGGAATTAACCACAATAACTTAAAATATATTTATTTTAACGTTTGGATTTTAATGTTTGGACAAAAGTAATGCATCAAGTAGGTTGTGCTGATAGTAGGTTATGAATAAAATCGCATGACACAATCTGTCAAATATTGTTATTTGTAGACCGACTTAAGATTTATGAAATACTGCTGCAAGTAGAAAAAAGAAAAGTGTTGGAATATTTGTATAGAATGGGTGCCCGAAACGTTACAAAATTAGTGTAATTGACTGAAAAAGTGCAGTGTATGAGACAATACAAAGGATAAAAAATGGCGTAGATATGAGACATAGCCCAGTTTTGGGTAGACCGCGTAAGATTCGCGGAAACAATTTAAATGCTTTAGGGCGACAAAATCCGCGCCTAGGGTTTCGAAAATTAGGGGACAGGTTTGAAAATAAACGAAGAATAAAAGTGTGCCCAGAAACTGGGCTAAATCATCTAAAAGTTTTATCAAGAGAAATGTTACCGTTCTTTCCAAATTTCCCACTAAAATATTGGTTTGGGGAGCAATATCTCAGCGTGGTGCTACACATATCTCTATAGTTAGTAGTACTGTTGATAGTACGAAATATTGTGACATCCTAAATGGTTTTCTTCTTGAAACGGCTCATGTTTTATATCCAGAGGGGTGGCGCTTTCAGCAAGATAATGCAAGATGAATTATTTGTTGAAATTTTATATTTCAAGTAATAGAAATAAATACCGTAAAATTATAATTCTGCTGTCGTTTTTTCCGGATACTTTCTAGACGGACTATATTTATATAGAGATCAAGGATTGTTAGAATTTGTGTCAAACTCTACGAAAGACTACCATGAAACAATGATTTGTGATGATTTTAAATAATGATCTATTCTTTTACTATTCAAGATTAAAGGAACCATCATCTAACAGTAACTGGAAAAAATAAGCTCTATATATATAATAATGGATTGATTACGGCTGTCACCGCTTCTCCGCCCCCAATTTTCATCTTTTTCTGTCATATGCAGTTGCCTCTTCTAAGTCTCTTGCCGCCATTGCTTCATCAATATCGTTGCACCAACTTCTCCGTGGTCGTCCTCTCCTTCTTCTTTCAAAAGGGATCCATTCCAGCACTCTTCTAGGCCATCTGTACTCTGGCATTCTTTTAACATGTCCGAACCAGATTATTGTTTTCTTTATATGTCATCATTGATATTTCGCTCCATTTTCATTTCGTTTCTTATTTGTTCGTTTTTAACTCTCTCCAGTTTCGATCTACCGCAGCTTCGTCTCAGATAATCCATTTCTGTCGTCATAAGTTTGTTTCTATTAGCTTTGTCGTTGTTTGTTGTTGTTAGCTCTCTATTAGTTTCTTGTCGAATTGTTTTTTGCAAGAGAAAATAGTTTATTAAGGCAGGGATCGCTGCTCTACCCTTGTTTATTCTTTCCCCGATTTCATCTGCGCTATTTCCCTGCTTGTTGAAAATGACCCCCAAATATTTGCACGGATGCACGTCTTTGATTTTGTCGTCTTCGAAGATTAGGTCACATTTTTCATCTGTTCCCACTGAGAGATATTCACATTTTGTCATATTAATGTTTAGACCATTGAATGTTTAGCAATTAAAATTAGAAACAACGCAAAGAGCAATGGAACGAATCATGCTTGGAATATCACTGAGAGACAAGATTAGAAACACCGAGATACGACGTAGAACGAAGATTAGGGATATTGTGGAAGAAATTACAAAAATGAAATGGCGCTGGGCAGGTCACGTAGCCCGATATAATGACAACAGGTGGACACGGAGAATTCTAGAATGGAGACCAAGGACGACAACAAGAAGCATGGGAAGACCTCAAAAAAGATGGGTAGATGACATAAGAGCGGTGGCAGGCAAACAGTGGATTAGATTGGCGCAAGATAGAGAAAGATGGAAGCAATTGGGAGAGACCTACATTCAGGAGTGGATGGAAAATGGTTGACAAAGAAGAAGAAGAAGAATGTTTAGACCTGCCACCTCATATTCTTCTTGCAGTTTTCTTACCATATAGCTAAGATCGTAGCTGTCTTTGGTAATTACTAAATACTACATTTTTTTACCCATTTCTCTAAGGATCTGTCCAAATAGATTTTAAATAAGGTGGGTGACAGACAGCAGCCTTGTCTTAGTCCCTTTGTTGTTTTTGAAAAGGAGAGGTGATTTCTTTCTCATTTTAATTCTTGCAAAGTTTTGTTCGTAGTATTTTTGAGTGGCGTTAATAAGAATTGGGTTTATTTTCAAGTTACCCATTTATCCATAGTTAGGAGATTGGTACACTGTCATAGGCTTTTTCCAAATCTATTAAAGCTATATGGGTTTCTCTATTTCTCTGCACTCATTTTTCCATTGCAATTTTTAATGTGAAAATATTATCCATAGTGGAGCGCCCGGCCCTAAATCCCGCTTGTTATTCGGGTTGTTTGTCTTTAATATCATTTTCTATCACGTTTCGTAGTACTTTTGAGTATAGTCGGCCTATAGTAGCAATCACCGCGATCCCTCTATAGTTTTTAGGATCCGTCTTTGTGCCTTGTGTATTGGAGAGATTATGATTGTCTCCATTCTTCTGGAACTTCTTCTCCGTTTAAGCATCTTTCGAATAATTTTCGGATCATTTCAAACAGTTTTGATGATCCATACCTCATCAACTCTGGATGTATTTCGCCTGGGCCTGAAGATTTTCTTAATTTCATTCCCTTAACTTCTTCTTTCACTTGTTCTATTGATATTTCTATTCTTCCTTCTACTTCCATTGTTCATTTGTCTGTTTAAACCTTTATCTTATCTCCGTTAATAAGTTCTCAAAATGCTCTACACATGTGTTCGCTGGTATTCTATTTATTATGACTTGGTTTTTTGTCGTTGTTCTCATCGTTTTTATAGTTCTCCAGGTTTCGGAGCTCTTTGTCTCTCATGTATGGTTGTCTAGGTATTGGCCTTTTTGTTCCCATGCACTATTTTTCTTCTTAACCACTTCTCGTTTGACTTCTTTATTCAAGTTTTTATATTGTTGTTTTGTTTGTTCGTCTTCCTGTTTAAACTCTCCTGAAGTTTATATTTATGAGTCTTTCTCCGTTGTTGTTAACAGTTTCTTCTCCATGCATGCCTACCACTTTACTTTGTACTTGTTTTCCTACTCTGGCATTAAGGTCTCTTCCACATATAATCTCATGGCTGTTAAGAATTTCGTTCAGGATTTTTCTAAAGTCTTCTTCAAAAGCTTCCTTTTCTTGTACTGAGTAGTCATCATTTACGGCATATACCCCCAGAATTGTTATTTGTGTTCCTCTTAGGAGAATGGTCACTTTAATAAAACGTTCCTTGTATGCTTCCCAAGATTTAATATATTTTTCGAATTTCTTGTGTCCAATTATTGATATCCCTACTCTTGCTCTTTGATCCTTTCCCACTCCTGAGAAGAAATGTACATAGTCTTTTAATTTTTCGCTTCCATTTCCTTTTTTTCTTGGTCTCAGAGGCTATATCTAATTTTCGATTTACGAATTCCTGCATAATTTCTTGTTACTTGTTCCGGATTCCCTGTATATTCCAGATTCCGTAATTCACGGTCCATTTTCGTTGCTGTTTTCGTCTACTGTAATTTCCGTCCGGTAACCGAGGCTCATTGGGATTTTTTAGCGCTGTAGAGTTTTCACAAATGTACGGTCGCTGGCCTTACGACTTAACCCCCATAATTGGAGGACCGAATTTTCTGATAGAGCCAATTATAATTTCTTGGGGAAATGATGAATTTAGTGATGATGATGCTATATAATCGCAAGAAAAAGACACATTTTTATAAATTCTTGTTCAAAACTAAGGCAAGAACGTATAGATATTTAAATGATTTCTACTTCAAAAAGCCTTGTTTAAAGACCGTCGTAATCTTCTGTCATATAAACTGTGCTACCATGCATTTTCAAATCGAGTATACCTAAAACTCGCAAGAAAAGTTCACTCTCTTTTTAAAAGTAAATGTCAGTGATGTGATAATAAATT